CCATCAACTTCTCCAAGAAACTTGAGAAGTTAAAACTTGCACTCAGTGCCAATTCCTTCATCACAGACAACAGTTTTGGAAACAACAATCTGTAATGGAAAACTGGACATTATCCTAGAATTTTGATCTGGTCTACAGTGAAAATTTAGAAAGGAAACAGAATGATTGTTCCAAGGTCGGGGGGGAGAATAAAATGCCCACTACGTTAATACCTTAACTGAGTTGTTACCTTTTTTTAATTGGTTAATTGTCATGGTAACTTGTATTTCACTGCTGATTATTCTTTTTACTTTCTGAGGACAGAATAAAACTTAAGACACTAGGTGGAACATTATGTCACAAAGTTACAGTGCAGTATATTGGGATATCCCTACTCCTAATAGTTATCGACAGCTGACTCTGGCTGCTAAAACCCACTGAGCAGCGCAACGGATATGGGGGGGTTAACATCCCGCATGTGGCTGCTAAAACCCACTGAGCAGCGCAGAATAGGGGGTGGTTTAACATCCCGCACATGCTGTACACAAGGGGAAACAGCAGTCTTTGAAAACAGCAAACAAAAACTTCACAATACATTCTTGTGCTAAATTCTTAATGCCAAATTTGCAGCAGCTGAAATTGTCAGTTCTAAAGGCAAAGAGCCATCGTGCATACATTCTTGCCCAAATACTGAAAACAGGAGCAGGATGCATATTTTTACTGGTACACTTACTATAAGGCTTGTTTTAAGGGAAATTAACAGAATTAGAGCATTGCAGATTCAGCTGTCTACATGCAAAGCCTTTTGCTAGGATCCAAAAAATGCACTTAATTAGGTAAGTTACTGCACATTAAAATTCACTGAAGAATTAAAGTTCTCCCTCTTGCTGTAAACTTTAGGATTAAAGGTAGAGATAGAAAAAATAAGCATAAGCATGAAGCTACTAGATAACAAATAAGAAACTTCACCCCAAAATGAAGGTGAGCCTGAAGAAATACATATACAGTGACACTGCTATATAAAACATGGAATTCAATATTGTATCACTAGAAAAATAATTATTAATATGCAACTAAAAAGGCTACTTAGAATAAGAGAAAGAAGGGAGCAGAATAAAACATTAGAAGAGTTGAAAGCACTACAGTATCTCTACTGACCTCTTAAGAAAAATTATATTGAAGGGAGAAGCACTTCAATTTCTTTGCAGATTAGGTAGGATGTTATGGCTATAGCCAAGGATAACAACATTTCTGTCGACTCAGAAGGGATAATATCCAGTTTTACAGAAGGAGCAAGTGAGAGGAAACAAGAATGCCTTAGCAGTAAAAGTGGTTTTAGGTATTACAGCAGCGTGAAGTTACTGTAGACTACGAATCATGATGACGCAACCTATAAAAACAGAAATTAACATTCTTTTGATGTTGTATTCAAAAAAGGGCAGCAGATAACTGGGTATTTGCACTTCATGCAAGTTAGTGCACTATTAACATATGAACATCAGGTGACAAGTCAGGAGTGTCTCCTGCACAGTTTACTCTAACAGCTGTGGTGATTAATTACTTTTCTGATAAAACAGAACTGGTGATTAAATACCTCAGAGATGGCACCATTTAAGCACTGTTTGTGTTTTTAAATGTGCACAAGTGCTTCCAAAAAAACAAAGAAAGAGAAAAATAGGGAAAAAGAGGGGGAAAGGAGGGGGGAGGAGAAGGAAAAGAAGAAAGAACCTATGTAGGAGACACTTCCAGCTATGAGTAACAGGGGATAACTTCTTAGGACCAGCAAAAATAAATGCTTTTCCTTTGTCTTCAGACTTTGACTCATACCAATAGCTGCAGTTAATAGCAGAGTAAATCAGAAGATGAACGATCCAAGCTATGAATTCTCCAAACCTACCGATCATTCTAGTGATGCATTTTCCTCAGTAGTTCCTAGGGGGAATAAGGCCATATACTGTAGCAAAATCATTATTTTAGTCATCTTACCTGACCCACAAGTCCAAACGCACGATCCAAGCTCCTCTGGTCCGTGTATTTTCTTATTTTATTATGTAACCATCCCAGCTCTGCAAGTCTACTTGTAGTATCTCTGAGAGATTTAGATAAGCTCACCTACAAAGTTAACAGAAACAACAATTCATAAGCCTTGTTTCTCCACCAAGCCTTTTTTTTTTTTTTTCCTCATAAAGGAAGCCAGTTCAGGACACACAATCATTTTACATCCCATAGCGAAGATGTTGCCAAAAAAGAATACCAATACGTTATCAGCATTATGCTACTAATAGCATAATGAAAAACACAGTTTTGAAAAAAAATAGCAACAAATACATTACTGACAACTCTGTCAGTGCTAAATAATTTCTTTAGGTTAAATTCTAACCCAAAAAAGTATGATTGTAGCGAGATAGAAACTTTAGTCACAGATGACTAAAGAATTATTTTGAATTCTAAATTCTTGGCAAGTATTAAGTTATGCATCCTCTGTAACCAAAGGGCAACAAACAAAACGGGCTTAATGTAATCACATTTGTATCTGTTAGCCCATACCAGGAGCTGTTACTTTTACAGTGCTGAATATCACCAACTGGTCTTCCAAAAATAATTGTAGGCACCAAGTCTCACTTGGAAAAAAGCACTATTGGCTACAATTCACCTGAAACATCCAATTCCTCCTAACTTAACACAGTTAGGAATTCAAAGCAAAACAGTTTTTTCACTTCAAAGCAGCTCAATTGATACAAAACTTATGCAGAAAACCAACAAAACCTGCAATGTTAATTTTACTAGCATTCTTAGCACTTTATCCACATTTTGGCAGAAAACCTATTAAGCTAGCATTCCTTTGCCATATATAAACTATTTTATAGAGACAAAAATTAAGATGCTTAACTTCTCTTCATTACCTTAAAAAACAGAGCTCTCCCTTGTTCCTCTGTCCCTAGTTCAACATTTTCTTCCTATCAGCTCGATCTGTTGCTAACGACAGAAGCTGACTTTACTCTCTTCAGCTCTATCATCTTTACCTGGGTGTTCTGTATAATCTCATCTGATTATTTATATGTTGTAATCAAATCCATAACATCAAGCGATTAACATCCATCAGAATATGAATTTCCACTCATAGAATCATATATGGTTGAGATTGGAATGTACCTTTAGACATCAAGTCCAACCCTACCGCTCAAGCATGGTCATCTGTCCAGACAGGCTTTGAGCATCTCCAGGGATGGAGACTCCACAACCTCTCTGGTCAACCTGTTCCAGTGCTCAAGTCAATCTCACAGTAAAAATGGTTTTCCTTTGATTCAGAGAGAATTTCCTGTGTTTCGGTTTGCATGCACGGCCTCTCATCCTGTCACTGAGCGCCTCTGAAAGGAGTATGGCCCTGGTTTCCTTGCACTCTCCTTTCAGATGTCTATATGCATTGGTAATATCTCTCCAGAGTCATCTTTTCTCCAGTTTAAACAGTCCCAGCTCTTTCAGCCTTTTCTCATACCGAAAAACAACACCAACAACAACAACAAAGAACACATAGGCTTTGTGCTAGCTTAATAGTTAGAATTCTACCTTGGTAGCTAGAAAAAGTCAGCCTGGATACCACTGCCAGATAACTTCTGAAGTGGTGGAGTTTGTTTCTAGGACCCAAATTACCTTATTCATTTTAGACAAATATGTTACTCTACAGTATAGATATATACAAAGAATTCCAGTCCTTGTATGTACAGCTATGTATGTATAGCTATAAGAGCTATATCCAAATGTTGCTCATAGCAGTTAAGGTATTGATAGATAAACCAGGCAGAACTACTTCTGAGGTCTTCATTTCACTATACGCTGAATGTCTTCATTTTTGAGCTTTAAATTACCCTATCCTTTAATAATAATAGACTCAGTGTGTGTGTGAGCATGCATGTATGTGTTTGCATCTATATTTGTTAAAGCTTGAAATTTCTGAAGTCTGTTGCTGCTAGCATTTCACTAGCATACTTTTCAAATCCTCATCATCTCTTCAGCTATGATATAAAATATTAGAATTCCATATCTGTCACCAGAGGTTAAACAGAGTGGGCAAAGTACACACTGAATTCATCCATCAGTATTTCCTTCTCCTAAAAATAATGGCCATTTCATTCCACATTACTCCCGCCTTTCCCTGATGGCCACTTTCCTCCACCTTTCTCAACACACAAAACAAAATGTGGGTTTGGCTGCAGAAAATTGCCGAGCAACAAATAACTTAGCAATAGTTGAAATTACTTCACTCTATTTAAGGAAAGGCAACCAAAGACTTGTATTAATACTTCTAACTGTAACATTTTCACGGCTATTTCTCCCCTCCATACCTCTCTGCTCCAACTTCTTTCACAAATGAACACAAGTCACTATACAGTACCTTTCCCTCTACTTTATAGCAGTTTTCAGAATTGCACATTTTGATGGTTTTGCCATCTATTCCCTGGAAGACGTATAAAACATCTCTTACAAGATTTGCTTCAGTTATTTCAACAGAGCCTAGAGAAAAAAAAAAGAGGGAGAAAAAGGAAAGTATTAAGATGTGCTGGGAAAATTAAGTTTGATTACAACCTGAAAAAGCTACACAGAAAATTAGTAAAAGTAAAAAAGAAAAAAAAAAAAGAAAAAGAAACCTATATGCATAACCCCTAAAGAATCATTTTAAGACCTTCAACAAACTAAGAGCAAAGCCAAGAAGAATGTCCCATGCCTGGCTCTGCTGATACCTGGGATTGTTTCACACCAGGTCATGTGAGAGGGCACCTTATATTTTAACCAACATTGTAATTAGTTCTTCACCTTGTATCTTTCTTGAGTTAACCACCCATGCAAGTTCAGAGGCAAGCATTAGAGTTACTTCTCCTTCCTTCAACCAAACTACTGAAACTGTTAATTAAGGCTTACTAATTTAGCTAGGACAAGAGAGCGAATCCAGAATGAGAGTTACTTGTTTAAAAATGCCTTGCAAAGGTGTCATCACTTACACCACTGTTGAGGTTGGAAAGATTATTCAAAACTAGACTGTCCAGTTGCATAACAGCTGCACAGCCTGGCAAGCAGAAAAAGATAAGATACCATTTCTGAAAAAAAGACATGCCTGTTGATTGAGTAGAGACGAAATACAGGATTGAAAAAGCTGGTCTGCAGGACACTTCAACTATTCCTAAACTTCTTTAGGCTAAATGGCATCATTTGCCTTTATGTCTTTAAGATACTAGGAACTAATCAATTTTAACAGTCCAGACCACCCACAAATTCTGATGCTACAACATGCTGCTACTTTTATTCTACTCAGGTATTCCCAAAGTTTACAGAATTCTTACTCTCACCAGTTTGACTTCACAAATCCACCTTTCCAGAATAAAAACAAAAAAAGATGTTTTTATTTTGGCAAAAGCAGTCATCACCTCAAGTTGCTGTTTAAAAGTTAGATTCATCTCGTAAGTCCAAGATGTACACAAGGGTGACTAGTCCCTTTAAGAACTCTTTCTGAAATGGTAGAAGATTGAAGTTCGCACTCCTTTAGTTGGCAGACAGTACAACAGGTATTAAGATCAAGGAAACAATGCTCCTGACTATACAGTCTGTGAAGTATAACAATAAAAACTCCAATTAACAGCAAGCAGCTTTTTTTAAAAAAAGCTCTTTAACTAGTTAGAAGAATTTGATATTCACAGAAATACATCTTCTTGATATAACTTTGTTATATTTTGAGTACACTTCAACAAGTGATCATGGTTAAGAACACACACAAGTAGCACAGTAAAACTCCATTTGGCCTCTAAGTTGTTGCCTTCTGTGCACTGTTGCCAGTTAAGAATCTAGCTCAATTTCATAATATGTAGTAAGCTCTGCAGTGGCTGGCAGATAAGCTGTATTTTAGCTTTGTACTATCTGTGCGCCTTTACCTAGGTTGTTTTGAAAGTTTTTTTTATTTGCCAGAGAAAAACTGCACTGTAGGATGACAGTATCTATCATTACTTCTATTATTCTCTTCCACTTTTATGGGAACGAACCTTCCCCAACAATTGACAATGTTAAGTTGGGTATTTTTTTCCATAGTTATACTTGTGTAAATTCCGAATAGATCCTCTAGATATCAGTCTTAAGTTTACAAACACTTGATCAAAAGAAGAAATTAGAATTTAGTACAGTATCTGCTTTAAATATCACCATAATCTGGGTACTAATTTAAAAAAAAATGACTTTAAGGACTCCATATTCCAATACATATTTTCAAGTTGTACAAAAGAATTACAAATGGATTAACGCATCTTAGCATTGAGTTCCTTTTCAAAGCTTCTCAGATTCGTAGCATCTTTTAACCATCTAAGGAATGAGGATAACTCACAAACCACAGTTAGTTGATTTTGACATACACATCAATAGGTTCAGACTTTTAAAAGACAGAATACACGTTATCAAACTAATCCTTGCACAAAAAAGAAGCTAAAAAACAACCAAATAAGTTGAAACCAAATACACTACTATCTTTACATACTTATTTCTATACATACAGGTTATTTCCTTTTCATTCTGTAGCAAAAAATAATCAACATGCTATAAAACTATTTAGTAAATATTTAGAAAAAAGAGAGGATGCAGACCACAAAACGTTTTCAGATGTAAGTTACGCCTAACAAACGCCTCTCTGCTTACCGCTTGTATCCCCTTCCCGCCTTGACCTCGACACGTTACGGGAGAGGGCATTGGGAAGGCCTTTTGAGGTAGCGCTTTGTAAGGAAGGCTGGCTTGCTGTGAGAGTCCACGCAAGGCGTGACCCCAACTGCTGACGGAGGCAATCTCCAACGCCCGGAGCTTGGTAGGATTGTCTAAAAAGGCAAAGGCAAGAAACATTTTTTAAAAACTTCACTCTAGACCTACCACGTTGTTTGGAAATGCAAATTAGGGAAAGTTCCCAAAGCTTAGGCTTGGCTTTCTTAAAGGCATTTTTAAATGGTGTAGAAAATACAAGCAAGTTATTGGTTCATATAAGTCCATGCTTTCAGAAAAAGAAAGGGCTAAGGAACCTGGACATATGTGAACGCATATCAGATAAAGAGGTATTTTGTTCACACTGAACTGTGTAGGCAGACTCACAATAATTGAACTGCTTTATCTCAAATTACTAAAAAAAAAAAAGTTTAGTTATTATGCTATCCTGTAGCAAAACAGAATTAAAGGAAGTAGAAAAAGAGGGGAAAATTCACTTTCCTACTACTCCACTGTTGAGAATAGTTTGCATCAACTGTCTGCAAATGTGATTAGGGCCTATCTAGATGAGAAATTCTGATTTCCCTTCCTCTCAAATTTGTCAATTCTTCTCATAAAAAATACAGCTTTAAGTGCAGATAAGTTTAGAAGTTAACTTTCTGGTTATTTCTGTATTATGATAATGAAAATAAAGTGGTAGAGGTTAGCAAAGATCTTTTGATTTTTGCAGTTGACAGTATTTCTTCCAGTAATTAAATGCAAACATCTGGAAATATTCAGGTATTTATAAAATTTAACAAATTCCACAATCTGCAAGGTGAAGGTGAGCTCTGTCCCCTCATCTAGATAGATCACTAATGAAGAGGTCCTCTTGCTGCTATGCACGTTCAGAAGACCTTCTTGCTTGGACAGTGTCTCTGTATACCTCCTGGGTCACTTGTGCCCCTTTGCCTCTCAGACAAACTGGCCCCTTCTTCCAGTTCTCTGGAGAAGCCCTCCTGTCCCGTTCCCTACCAGACAGTCCCCAGCAGACACTTGGCAAACACAACATCACCCATGTTGGTTTGCTCTCTGTTCTAACCCCATTAACCCTCAGTTAATGTCTCTCCCATCCCTAGGCAGAGCACACTCCCACTGTGCTCCCACATAAAGAGCAGCGCTCTCCAGTCTGCCCTGCCTAAATGGCAGTAGTCACCCACTGCAGCACTCCAGCAGCGTGAGCTTCCCCACCAGTCTCCAGGACACCAGGGGAGCACAGAGCACTGCTCTACCCGCACTGACTTCTAATGACTCCTGTCTGCTCTCCCTGCTGTGTGTGCACTAAGTGTACGGGCACTTCAGCACCTGTATGAGGTGTATTTCTTTTAAAACATTTATTTTTAATTACAAGTGTATCTATTTTGATTTTGTGCGTGTGAGGATTGCCTGGGAAGAAAAAAAAAAAAAAAGGGAAAATTAAGGAAAGAGGAAAAGGCTTCTTTTTTCTTTTCCAACTGTGAAAGGAGAAACTACATAAACTTTCAGTAAATCAGCCACGTACTGGGAATTTGGTCAAGCCATAACCAATTAACAATATTATTAATTCCTGCAGCCCTTAAAAAAAGCCTTTTCCCATTTTATTATGTTCCTATGTGCCTGACATGAACCAAATTTTCTTGAAAGCTAATGCCCTCATAGCTTTTGCATGAAGGTTCTATTTCCAGACTTGTTGGTTCAATGTTAAAACAACTATGCGAATAAGACTGAGGTCCTCACTTCTGTAAACTGCATAGCATCCCACTCACCTTTTCAAGCTCTACCTCTCTTAACTGAGGGTATTTCCCAGACAGCTATTACAGAATCATTGCTGAACCCACTGCCTCTTGCTGACCATGAGCACCATGTTCCCTTTCTCTCCACTGAAGAGAGACTACGAGTACTCTACCTCTGGATGTGTAGAGCTGTAGTGACTATTCAGGATGTTAGGCCATAGTACAAAAAGGAACCAGATTTTGAACACATGATTATCTGATCAGTTTATTCTGTTCAGTAACTATTCAGTTTATTTAACAAAGTCAATATTCAATTGATCATGTTATAGCTTGCAAGGGCCAGCCTGTATTTACTGAAAAAGCTGAACCAGTCATTATTTGAATTTCACTTGCACATGTCAAACAGTAAAGTTTTTTGGTTTTTTAATAGGTGATTTTTATTAATTGTACACTACTTCAAAAAGAAAGTCTATTTTCAGTATTCACAATTCACAACTAATTGGCTGGTATCTCTAGAGGACCTTCCAACCTCAACCACTCTGTGATTCTGTTTGATGAGCCTGCAGGATTTAGGCAGCTTAACACTGATAGCTCCCCTCCTTCCACACACACTATCTACAGAGGTGTTCCACTCATACTATTCAGCTTCTGAGTATTGTTTATGTGTTGCCACAAATAAATCTACTGCTAGGCAATTCCCAACTCCTAAACATCAGCAGTGTCAGTCATGGAACATGGTAAAACTACACCAGCATACCTTAATAACGGCTTAGACTATCATAACCATATCAATTTCAGAGTCTAGAAAGTATCTGAATGAGGTTCTTCCTTATGTGTTTGTACACAGCGTATCTGACAAGTTACATGTGTTAATTCTAAATAAGCAAGCAGAAGAGCTTGAAGAGTTCAAATATGGATTTTAAACCTAGGATAATTAGATTCCTCTTGGGCTGTCTTACTCTTTGCACAGGTCAACTGCTTAGCCTAACATTGATAAATTTGTCACTCCTCTTACGAAAGAGCAGGATGGAGAAAGGGAAGCCCTTGACAGGGGGCATCTTTCAGTTCTCCCAACAATTGTTCCAATTAGCGCTTATGTGTAATAAGAAGCTAGTGGCACATCCAGGCCTCACCCTGTTAGAAAGGGAATCAATTTATTAGAAGTCCAAGGACGCTGAACATGAGCTCAACAATTAAAGGATCCCTGCTGACATAGAGATATGCTATATTTATGTCAATTCTCTCCAACAGAAATACATCTTTGTAAAGACAGCACTGCTATTACTATGGGGTACTACCCTATTCTAGCAACAATCCCAACTAATTAGGAAATGGCAGTGCCTTTTGTTTACTAAATTAACAGGCAAGGAAGTATCTTGTATTTGACATAGTAATGGGACATCACCACCATGAGACTAAGAAAATATTTAGTTTCTCAGGGTAGAATACAACTTTTTCTACTGTCTTTTCATCTTGAAAAGAAGAAAATACATAGAATAAAAAGCTTTTTGTTACGATGCAGAGGGATAGAGTTCAGTCCCCAACATCTCCTCCATCTAGGCATGTGGGAATCACCAAAAATGGTAAGCAAAATTGGTTAGCATAGGGTAACTCAGAGCTGAACTGTACAGCACCTAAAGAAAATTTTCTAGAAATCCGATATCTGCTTTCAATTAAAAAAGAGAAAGATGTAAGTATATTTTTGTGACACTGTTGGCATCTGCATGCCAGTTTTTTTCATTGGTCATTTGGATGTGTTTATGTATAAAGTACACACACACACAGATTTTATTAGATCATAGCAAAACCCAAAGTGAAAGGCTCACTGTGTCTAGCATTTGAACTCCAAAGAAGCACTGTGTCCTTCATCTCCAACACTTTCTGGTCTCTGTGTATGCACACCTGCATGCAAGACAAACTTCTGGAATTTGCACCCTGCAGTTCAGAGACGTGTCTTTCAGTTTGCTTAATGTTAGATCACTGCTTTGAGACATGAGCTGCCACAGCCTTTCAGGAGCAATTCTTTGCTCAGTACTGCTTTCCCTAAGGAAGTTACTAAACTCACTGGGCTGTGCAGCGATGTGTTGGATGTCCTTAAGTGTTAGGAATAATAAGCATATCTACATTATAAGCCTGAATTTCATTTGCGAGTGGACAAGAATGGCCCAAATCTGTCCACTCAAAATACAAGATTCCTCTTAGCAAAACAGCCAGCCTGCTACTAATTTGCTTAATAGCAAATCAGACCATCAAAGAAAGGTCATATACTTGAAAACTGAGGATAAATTTACTATTTAGACACTGGCTAAGGAATACCATAAAAGGAGCTTCAGTGAAGACGACTAAATCAAGTGCATTTACAGAAGAAAGATAAAGGCTGTTTTGAAGGGTTTCAGAAAACTGAGAAGTTTGGAAGAGGGATCTGCTGATATTAGAATTCAACAGAATACATCCAATAAAGTATCAAATATTGAGCAGATACCAATCTCATAAACCTAATCTTAACTATGTTTAGCCAGCCATATACAGCTCCAGATAAGCACACTACAGCACCTGACACTAAGAACTGTTTGGCTAAAGAATAGTTTCTAAGAACCTACAGTATTACCCACAACAGCATAAAAATAAAAAACAAGCAGATCTTCTCTAGTCATCCACATATTATTAAGCAAGCCTTCCTCCAACCTATCTGTAAGGAAACAAGGTTTAATTTACCCTGGAAGAAGTGACTGCGGAGTTGGTGTTGGCCCGTTCAAGGCATACAGGCTGATGCTGCTGATCCCACTGCTCCCCATGCTCCCAGAACTCTGGGCAGGCTGAGCATTGCGGTCTTGGTAATTCAGCGGGAGGCTCTGAGGCCTGGCATAGTAGTAAGGGGTTGAATGAGCATCCCGTGGTAATGCCTGAGCAAAGAGTGTGGCATAATTGGATACCTGAGAAGGGACAAAGGGAAAGGAGGAATAAAATAAATAAATAGCAAATTGCATTAAGTTATGTCCTTAGTTAAGGAGAAATACTCAAAAATGTAAAGTAATTGAAGACCATAAATACGGATTTTTTTTTCGGGGTGGGGGGGGAAGATCTGTTGACACAACCATAGGGACAAAAGAAGCCAGTCTTCCAGAGCCAGCAAGACTGCTTTTTTTTTTTTAGCAATATATTTTTTATTCCTCCCAAATAGTCATCAGAATTAGTTCTAAAAGCAGTATTTTGTTAGCACAGCTGCAATCAAAGTAGAAGTGTTGCTTTTTCTCCTGTTTCAAATTTATTAGTAGATTAGCAGACTCCACAAAGGAAAAAAAATAAAATCCAGCTTAAGCCACACAGGTTGGACAGCTCATAATTTTACATTCACTTAATATATATAAAGTACATAGCAAAAAAAATGCAAAAAGTTATGTCAATGTTTTATTCCTCTCAGCTTTCCTGAACTCTGCAAAGATTCCAGAAATACTGGTTAAGTTTGCATAGGGATTCTTAACAACATCTAAAATAGTTATCATTTGTGATTTTTTCAATTAAAAATAACAAGTCTTATTGCCTACCTTGTTAGACTGTTTACGCGGATCTTCACTAAGGTTAAGCAGGAGGTAGAGTATTGACCATTTGTTTTTCAAAACGCCCTTTTAAGAGGGATAAAAAAAAATTACAGCTTGCTCATTTTTATTTACCCAGCCTACTAATTTTTCTTCAATCTAAACATATGATTAACAACTTCCCATGCAAATAAAACCTCTCAGAGACACATTCTTGAGTAATTTAGAAACACTTCATCAATAGTTTTATGAATTTGCACCATTTTGTTCAAGTAACAAAGTCTCACATCTGAGAACAAGCATGCTCAATTTAAAGTTCACAGTTACTAACAAAAAAAGTTAATTAGCATTGAACTTTTACCAGCACTTCTGCCCTACTTCATTTAAAATATCTTGGGCTTAGATGCAACTCTATCCTAAAAGTGAAGAAGGAAAACTTTCAGTAGAATTGTAAATAAACATCTGTCTTTTCTCCACTTTTACTCTTGTTGTCCTTCTCAGGAATGCTTCAAGGAAGGAAGGGTTCAAATTTATATTACTGTAAATGCCATTTAAGAGAGCTACCAAATGTTTAATAGCTTAAGGTACAGAGACATTGTTAACAAAACTTGAGGTATACACAATATATTCTCTTCCAAGCAGATATAAACAGATACTTGTAGACTGTTAGAATAAGGCTCTTAAGAGCTTTAAATCTCAGCAGAAAGTTTTCAGCAGAAGACAAAAAACAAAGCAAAGCCCAAGTTTCAGCACACTCCCAACCTCCCGGACTGCTGTGCCCTGTGTCCCTCCAGCACATACTGGGCAGATTCAAGTCACCCTGGAAGACCAGGGCCTCTGTGTACAAGGCTTCTCTCCAATTCTCTGGAGAAGCCTCCTGTACTTTCCCCTGATCAGGCAGTCAATAGAAGACTAACACATCATCACCCCTGTTGGCCTGCTCTCCTATGCTAACCCATTAACTAATGGCTGCCCCATCCCTAGGGAGGGCTCCATGTATTCCAGTTGCACTCTCACATAAAGAGCGATTCCCCCTTGTCGCCCTCCTGCCCTGCCCTCTCCAAAGCAGCAGCATGCCCCTACTGCAGCACTCCAGCTTGAATGAGCTATCCCATCACAACTCCATGATCCCCCAGAGTTTACAACTCTGCAACTGCACAGACTTCTCGTTTCTTCTGTTGGTTCCTTGTTCTGTGTGCATTAAGGAACTTAGAGAGGCACTCTCTTCCCAGGACGACTATGAGAGTTTCTCCCATGATGTAAACCCATAGGCACATCCTAATTTTCTTACATATGTTTGGGGCAACTCCATTTCGGCCTCGTTTTGTTGGTCAAGAGATGTGTTCTGCTTCTGTCACTCCAGACACTTTGGTTGCCAAACCATCCACTACTTGGACTACTGACCATCCTCCCCCACCTACTCCTAAGTGTCCCTCCTTAGCAGATAGGCACCAGGTTAAGGCAAGCTTTTGATACCTAACATGAAAGGTTCAGATCACTTATCACAATTAAACAAACAAAAAAAACCCCACACGAGGACTGTTTAACTTAGCTCCTACATAAACATATTTACAAGGCATTACCCTAAAATAAATGACAATCAGAAACTCTTTCAGTTTCATTAGCATTACCCAAAATAAGTCTATCACTTCAAAAGGGCAGCTATGCATGCTTTCTGTTGCTTTACTGATGGTAAATTTACTACTTTACCTGTGAACTGAGTTTTCTGTAGAGCTCTGAAAATAAAGCAGCATCTGCCTCTCTTCTCTGCCTTGCCACTGCAGAAAGGAAGAAGAGATTTGGAAATTGAAACAAAAAAAAGAGCAAAACAGTCACGATGGAATTGACATTTTGTGGTAATTTGGGGAATTTACTTATATAGTTTTGTCAGCTTTCACATTACCTGCATCCCTGGCCACGTAAGACGGGTAACAGTAGGTGGGAAAAAAAAAAAAAAAAAACACACACACAAAAACCATTCCAAGAGGTGGGTAATTATTCCCAAAAAGCCAAACAGTAACATAAAAGAATCATAACTCGGAGGTAATATTCTTTTTAACAATACGGAGAAATCATTAAACTGTATCTTGCACCCATGTCTTTTGCCTCTGCTCTTAGGTAAAAAAGAGAGTAACTGTGGTAATCAACCTACACCAGAGCTTTTAATACAGACAGTCTAGTGAATAAGTTTATCACCCCAAAGGTCTTGCAAAAGAAGTCCCCTAATATAAGTACTTGCTTTTTGGTTTTTTTTTCCCCTCTTTAATTATTGAAAGAGAAACATATGTGTGCGTATCTATACACACACACCTTCTAAATAAGAGCCCTTTTAAAGTCTAGAATGTCTTCGTATTGGTTTAAAAAATTAAAACATAACTGAAAGCAAATATGGATTACAGCATCCTATAAAGCACTTGACAAGTATGACTGGTTCTATATTACACAGTAGAAGCAAGAAGCAAAGCAGTGCCACTTGTCCAGGATTCCAAGGTCACTGAACATCTATATATTAAGGAAAACATTAACAACAATAACAACACTAAAAACATTGCCTTGATCTCTGCTAGTTACATAATAAAAGTCTTTGCTCAGATGATAGCTGTTTCCAAACTTCAAAGTGTCTCCAGAAAAGTCACATTACTTTAAAAAAGAACCTTAATAAAAGTACTATTACATGTAGAAAATGCTATTTAGAAGTCATTGCTAAGCACATTTTGTCATATAAGTGACTTCCTGAATAACTGTAAAGTCAGAACAATATATCCAGGTACTTGTTCCATGACCACTGACACCAACCTACAAGCTACAGTAGTGCAAAATGAATATAAAATCCTTAAGGTTGGAAGGGACCTCTAGAGGTCATCTAGTCCAACCCCCCTGCACACGCAGGGTCACCTAGAGCACGTGGCACAGGGATGCGTCCAAGCGGGTTTTGAAGATCTCCAGAGAAGGAGACTCCACAACCTCTCTGGGCAGCCTGTTCCAGTGCTCTGTCACCCTCACTGTTAAAATTTTTTTCCTTAAGTTCCTGTGGAACTTTAGGTGTTTCAGTTTGTGGTCATTACCTCTAGTTCTGTTGGTGGCCACCACTAAAAAGAGGCCATCCCCATTCTCTTCACCTCCCTTGAGGTATTTATATACACACTGATTAGATCCCCTCTCAGCCTTCTCTTCTCCAGGCTGGACAGGCCCAGCTCTCTGTGTGCTCTTCTTAATGCAGCCCAGGATCCCATTGGCCTTCTTGGCCACGAGGGCACACTGCTGCCTCATGGTCAACTTGTCGTCCACCATGACACCCAGGTCTTTCTCTGCAGAGCTGCTCTCCAGGTCAGTCCCCAACCTGTACTGGTGTCTGCAGTTATTCCTCCCCAGGTGCAGGACCTTGCACCTGGCCTTGTTGAATACAGGAGATCATCAGCTTCAAAACTCCTGTTAATTAGCCCAAACTTAATGAGCACACACGCTGTGCCTAATACATGCACCACAGAATGCTGTATTTTGAAGTTAGATGTACAGAAATGCTAATGGGCTTATTTGAAGCAGGCAATGGAAGCTCCGGATTAACAAAGAATAAACATGGTTCTTTAAAAAGACTACAACCACTGATTTCAGTTACCCCCGCTCAGTTTCACCAACAGAATACTCAAAGCTTGAGCACAAACAGGAAACTGATTTAGTTAACATACTGCAAGACACAGGCAGTAGAGAGCCTGCTGAAAGCTGCATTTAGCTTTTCCAGATTGTTGGATTCACACAGCACAACACTGTTGACTCAGAGCACAGCGGAATACAAGTATAGCATAATTATTATAATCTAATGTTTTGGGTTTGAGGTGGCTGCAGAGAAACTTGTAGAGAAAAATGAAGGCAAGAAACACCAGGTAAGTCATATGAGCAAATTCCTTCCATTACCAGGATGCTTATTTAACAAATTCCACACACTCAAACTCAAAGTTAATAGTGACAAAGTGTAATATTTTTAAAATACACCTCACAATATCAGTCTTCTAAGAAGTAATGTGAATTCATAAGACCTAAATAATATTAAAATGAGGCACGTCCCTATTTCTAGGGATGGAACTAAATCAAATGTACATACATTCTTTCTTGATTTTCTCAGCTACAAGAAATTCATCCCGTTCAACCGTGGGAGCAAAGTTGCTTCCAATAACTCTCACTGCATACTGAAACTGTTGGGCTGCATCAGCTGAAAGAAGGAAAAAAAATACTCAGTTAAACAGACTTAAAAGGTCTATTAAAAGCAAATTTAACATAAATGTTCCTGGTTTAGCTCTGCTATTATTATATGATACTCCTTAGGCATATTTCTAACCTAAGGACAGTCAAATACAGTTTCCCACATGCAGATTAATGATGCTATACTTCAAAATGCACCTACCTGTACAGACTGAAAAATGATTCTACTTATATTCGTGTACAAGTCTATCCACAAAAACAAGCCTAGAAGTTGTACCAAGTATGTGCTGCTGTAATGACATTAGAAACTCTGTACAGACTAATGAGACTTTTAGGCCTATGCAGTTATTAGAGCTCTACACACTTCAGTCGGCTCCGCAGCTATCCAGGACCCCAAACCCTACAGGACTCCACACAAAATCCACGATTCAGCTCCCACAAAGAAAAAACTCAGCCATGTTCACCAGACATATTCTCCCAGGACATAAGGCAGACATATCCACAGTCAGTAACTTCAACACCATTTTCATGCACTGGTTCTATCTTTAATACTTTTGAGTGCTTTGGAGCAAATATCTCTGCTTTGCTGGAAAAATCAGCACTAATTTAAGATGACAAAATAGTTCAGTACATCTACAGCACATCTACAACATGGTCATGGTCCCATGTGCTGATCTGAAAGGCTACCAATAACACTAAAGTCATGCCTATTGCCATTACATGTGCAGAGTGCCGAGAGAAGGAGAAAAAAAAAAAAAAAAAAAAAGTGTTTCTCATATGTGAATCATTCTAGTAAAACAGTGGGAATGCTACTAGGCAAAAGTGCAAGTGTATGGTGCCACTTAAAAATCCAAAAGTGTTAAAAAAAATGTTTTGAATATAACTATTTTGCATGCAAATGCAGCAGGCTCCTCGTGTTTTACTTAAGCAGTCAATCTTCAGTTGAAAACCTGTAGTCCTGCAGCAATGGTCCCAATGAGGAATAAGAAAGGACAATGCCTTAGACAAATGTGCACAAAACAAAAGGAACAGGGGGAAGGTCCATTAGATGCAGTGATTCTTAAAGTGTTGTATCACTTTTTAAAATTAATAATCAACATTTACACCAGGGGGAGGAAAAAAATGGACAAAAGTCAACTATTGATAAAATCCATTAGGAACTCCAGATACTTATGGAAAGAAAAAAATGAAATCAGAATGAATTTTTGAATTTGAATGTCCACTTTGATACATAAACACCACACATTGATACCAATCTGACAGGATACATCTGTAAATCAGCAAACACATTAACTAGTTAACCAAAATCAACACTTCACTCCAAGAAAAGAAGTATCTGTTCAGATAAAACACTGATAGATGTTAATGGTTCTAAAATATCAGATTATTAAACAGGCATGCCTATCACTATTTTCAGGGAAAAAAAAAAATCAGGCAGTCTCAAAGCACTGTAAGGTCACAAATATGCATGATCTAAAAGCCTCTGAGAAAGCATAGATCTGCTGTTAGACTAGGCAATATTTCATTCAGGGGAAGTGTTACTGCATAATTCTTAGTTATGGTGCATGTTATTACAAAATAACTCAAGGTTTACAAAAGTTTTATTAGTTAGCAAAGGTAACTAATGCACAAACATTGACAGTAAGTTATCCCAGACCATAAGAAGAGGTATTTTATCTTCTTAACTCCATAAACACACACCTAGCAGCAATGGGCAAGAGCTAGGCTTCTCTAATCATTCTTGCATATTTTTGGCTTAAATGCTTTTATTGTCACTCAATATGGATTCCAATTTAAAAAGAAGATCACTAAGAGCTCCAGGTCAAAAATCTCAGGCGAACTGAAGTTAGGAAAGTGATCAGCAGTTGATTCCAGAGCACCATAACATTTATGACATGTATCTAGATTAAATTATTAGAGAAGAAAACATGAAATATCATCAACAAACTCGGTCAATGTAGATTTCAGAAAAATACAGGAAAACAATTAAAAATAACTGGATTTCTTATTTACAAAATGACAGAAACAACACAACACATACACAGAAAGCAGAGAGAGAGAAGGGGAAAAAAAAACAACAAAAAAAACACGCACACACACACCCCCCACACTCCTGCAGCTTTTGCTTGAGACATGATGGCCTGTTTTTCTGTGGAAAGCGAAGCTTCTGAAATTACCCAATCCATCTGGCTGCACCACCCTCTCTGTTGCCTCCATTAACTTTTACACTGCTGATAGATTAACAAATTTGACAGAGATCTTGGATGAAACTGAAAAGGTTTCACAGGAATTTGCACCTGTCAGAACAAACATGCAAATAACACTCCCTGGCAGAAAGGCTACAGCCTAATGTCAGCAAACCCATATCCCTTGGTCTGCCCGCCTGCAAGTACAGGAGGAGCAGGAGCACCTGGAGCCTCCTGCCCACACTGCAGCTTGGGGACACTAAGGAACAGGGGCCTGGAAGGAGAAAGAAGAGCAGTTTTTAAGGGAGCTACCAGGGACAAAAGAAGCAGCTGGCAGTACTGGGGCTAGAGGCTGAAGGATGCAGTAGAATTTAACAGATTGAACACCTAGGACACAAACCCCTAGAAAATAAAGGCCCATTCCTACCTTAGTGAAACCTAGGTCTCACATTTATGACCTTGTGGTACACTGCTGTATACTTATCTTTTTAAAGGATTTTTAATCTATTACATATTTTATTATTCAACATTCTGCTATGTCTGGACAATGGAGCATTATTTATTCAGCTGCTTGGTGTGACTTTTCAGTATATGCTATGGTTTAGAATTGAAGAAGTTTTCGCTTTAAGTGATTTTTTTTTTTTTGGTGGGGGGGGGGAAGGTAGGAAAGATCTCTAGCAGAAAGACTAAGAGTCCATTAAAAAATTCTAAATATTAAGCCTGCTACACTACTAGAGGACCCAAAGATCCCTGATCTCCACACATACAGATTTGCACTGGTGATTCACTGATATTGTAGTAAGACTGTATAAATAGAACATGAAAAAAAGAAAACAAACAAACAAACAAAAAAAAAACATAACCTACAAATAAAGTCCACCTTCTTTAAAACCACTAGCTCCTTGCTATAGGAGTTTCTTCAACATCTGATTATGTCTTAGGAGCCTATAAGATAACTTCAGTCCATGAAGTGATTACATATACTTTAACAAGGACATCTCTCATTAGCAAAATAGAAACTCGTGTAGTTTGTAGTGAATGGACATGTTTAATTGTTCTCCCTTCTCAAAGAATAGCCATGAAGACATGAGGAGGGCTAAAAAAAAAAAAAAAAGGATGTAACCAGGCACAGGTGTCCCATGTTTTCATCAATAAGCAGTTACAGCATCTCTCTGTTACAACAGCAAGGACATGTACCCAACACATGAAATTGCTGCAGCTGGTTGAAGGGGGAGAGGAGAATCACACAGAAACACAGTTTAGTTCTCAGAGGTCTGATCAGACCATCGAATACAGAAGGAGGCAGTTGCTACCTCTCAAACTGTAAAACTAGAAGCCTCTCATGAGTACGCACACATACAAAATTAATGGCACTGGTAAAGAGCCATTCACTTTAACAAAGAAAGAGCATTTGCAAGTTAAAAAAAAAATGTTCCTTTGAGCACAGCAAGCTATTAATAATTCAAAGACTTACAGCTCACCCAACTATCTACACTCCTCTTAACAGTTCAGAATGAAAACCGAACTGCCTCCAAAGGCAGAAAATACCATTTTAAAATCACAAAAAGAGAGGGTATAAGCATAGTAAATACAGAGAACAGATGCAAAGCTTAGGGGGGATTTGGTTGCAATAAAACAAGGAAAAAATGGTACAAAACAGAAATTTAAAAAGAAAAGTTTAAGAAAGTTGAATCACTTGACCAACATATTTCCAAGCAGTCATGTGTCAGAGGGTGTTGAAAATTAGCAAGTCCTTTGCTTAAAATAAATAAATAAATACTGCACATTAAGTGTCAAGAGACCAGTAAGTAATAGTGTTCAAAAAAAAGAGACAACTAAAAATAATTTAAATAAAATTCTTGAAACAGACACAGTGACTGAAAGGATATTTTAAAACATTTGCACATCATATCATAAGTGCGAGAAACCTGGTTGTAGGAAAATTGTAGAACTGAAGAATCCCTCACATACAGTGCAGAATACAGTTACACCAGCATTACTGTGTTATCTCCTCTACACATTTCACCCACATAACAAGTTTTATATGAACATGAATCACCACCACGAAAGCAAACAATTACACTAATATAATATGCTGGATGGGACCTCTGGAGACCACCTAGTCCAAGCCCCTACTCAACCAAGAACACCTAGAGCATGTGGCACAGGACCCCAGCCAGATGACCCTTGAACATCTCCAAAGACAGGGACTCCACCGCCCCTGAGCAACCTGTTCCAGTAAGTATACATATTACAAGCAAATCTACTTGTTTCTGTAAAACAAAACAAAAAAAGTAGTTGGTGGCAGCTCAATTATTAAGTATTCTTAATGAATCTTTCTTCTAATGCACACAACTATCTTTCCAACTACAAGTGCATTTCTTTCAGAATAAGAGCAAAAATATAAACACAAAAACTCTATTTATGCAAGTTTTAAATGTTTTTTCCCCCCCCATAACTAACAGTCCAGTTTTTAGATTCTCCTCTGACCAAGGAAAAGAGGAGGCTTCAGACTCCCTTGCCTTTCCTTATCTGAAGGCCAAGTTCCTCCTGCTGCAAAACTGGAGGCATAGGACAGGAAACATAAGCATTTAATTATCATTGTGGATTCTTACCGAATTCTCTGTAAGCAAGTAGTTCTGCGAGAAGTTAGTCCTAACAATAACTTTTTAAAATGTTTACCTTACCATTTTTGCCTAACTTGTCAACTTGCATTTGCTTCCCTTGGCATATGTAAGAAATAAGAGTGTTTCACTTTTTGAATAAGCAACTATAGGACTCTACACATTCCTCTGCCATGAAAAAAATCCTGCCTAACTGCTAG